AAATCCTTGTGATAACATCAGGATGTCGCTCATTTTAAATTTTAAGATAGTTCGGGTAAGCTGCTTTAATTAGCGCTGCAGTAATCTCCACAGTTTGATGTAGCATAAAGCAATTTCCTTAATTTCTTCCTGAATGATATGGCTTATTTAGTAATAACTTCCCATGAGAAGAGAGAAATGGAAGTTTGATGTCCATGCTAGACCTGGTTTGTGTGTATGTCCTTTCAAGTTACCTGTCAATATATGGTGATCTCATGAATTTCATAGGGATTTTCTTAGGCAAGGAATCCTCAGGTGTTTTTGGCAGTTCCTTCCTCAGCAATATAGCCTACAGCACCTGGAATGCATTGGCAGCCTCCCATTTAAGTACTAACCAGGGCTAACCCTACTTAGCTTCTAAGATCAGATGGAATCTGGTGAGAATTAGGACAATACTCATACTTGTCCTAAATCACTCTCTCCATCTTAAATGAAGTATGTGTGACACTATCCCCCATCATCATCATCCCCACCATTATCATTTTATTTTTATATCTGCCTTTTCCCAAGAACTGGACTCGGGGCAGATATATTCCAGATAATGATGTCCAAATATTCCATTCCTTTCCTTGAAATTAATTGAGTCCTTCATATGTTCCATTTGAGCACACACAAAAAAAATCCTGTGGTTAGGAGATTATTAAGTACCTGAAAGAATACTTGAAGGGGCTGATATTTTCCTCCCTTTACTTACTGAACATCTCCAAGGGGAAATAATTCCCATCAGGTTGGACATGAACCACAGGTCCTACAAAGGGCCCATTAGACTCCTACTACTACTGTATGTCAAGAGAGGCCTTTTTTCAACCATGAAGCAAAACAACTCAACATTAGGGGGAACTTCCTGACAGTAAGGGCGGTTCGACAGTGGAACAAACTCCCTCAGAGAGTAGTAGAGTCTCCTTCCTTGGAGGAGGCTGGGTGGCCATCTGTCAAGGCTGGATGGCCATCTGTCGGGGATGCTTTGATTGATTGCATAGAAGGGGTTTGGACTGGATGGCCCTTGTGGTCTCTTCCAACTCTATGATTCTATGATTCTATGAAAACAGAATTGACTGTTTCCTCCCACTAAAATTCTGCTGGCAAAACCTTAATTCCATCTTACTCATTTTATTTTTTCTACCTATTTTGGTTGCTGTTTCTCCCCACTGTCAACGTTAAAGCAGTAGTCTCTTTATGGCAGGACTTTTGTGAAAAATTATTCAATAAAGTGCTAGACACAGTGACTGCCAGTACTGGAAGCAAGAAAAAATAACAAAACAGGACTCTTTCGTGTGTAAATATTTCTCAGTGAACTGAAAACATTAGACTGGTGCTGGTATTGGGGAACATATTTTTAATTTTTTAAAAATAATTTTATTTATTTTTTATAAAAACATAATCACACAAAAACTATGCAAAAACATTACAATGACAATTATAAACAAATACATACGTTATTCCTTACATCTCATCCATTACATATTTCATTCCTACTAACATACTAACATACTAACATAAATCACTAACAAACAACAAACAACAAACAGAGTTGGCTTCCTTTAAATTCTACTGATTTGTGAGAATTTGTCGATTAACTTTCCTCCTGTTATATGATTGGTACACATTGTATCTTGCTTTTTCCCACCTTTCCTTATATCTATACAATCATTACATTAAATTCGATATTTATCATGTTCCCTTGTATACATCTTCTCCATTTGGGGAATATATTTTTGAAAGACAGACATAGGCAAATCTGTGGACTTTTTTGTGTCTGTTAAGTTGAAAGAGGTTAGCAGCACTAGGACTCAATGTTTGTGTCTTTGGGTCTTTACAGGCTGCCAGAAATAGTGCAACTTGAAGCCACTTTAACTGTCCTGACTCAGGGCTAAGGTTTTGAGCTTGAATATGTCACGGGGGGGGGGGGGGGGGGGGGGGGGGGGGTTATAATCACACAGATCATAAGATTAGAAATAGGGGTGGAGGGAAACAGGTTTTACTTTATGTTTGAAATCCACAATTCTGTGAGGCTTTTTTCTCATTTAGGAAATAGTGGTTGGCAATTAAAATGTACATATACATGTAGGGCTAACTGAGACACACAGATACAGCTGGCATGAATTATTGGGCCATCCATGGTTTTTTGAGGGTTTTACAGGCTATGTGGCCATTTTCTAGAATATTTTATTCCTGACATTTTGCCAGCATCTATGGCTGGCATCTTCAGAGAATGCTGGCATGGAAGTGAGCGGGGTATATATATATACTGTGTAACCCTTGATTGAGAGAAGGTGATTTAAATGTTAATCTGCATGTTTTTCTGTTGTTGAATGGCAAGGCCTCAGGGTGGAAAAATCAAGGAACATGAGATACATTGCAGACTGGGTCAGACAGAAAAATCAGCAGTAGTAGAATACCTTATAAACCATATTGGGCATAAAACTATTTTATTGGGCTATTTGAAAACACTGAAATTCTGAACCATGCCAACTATCAGGTCAGAATGCACAAGGAAGCCATTAAAATCCACAAACACCTAGACAATTTCCACAGGAAAGAAGAAACCCTTAAACTGGTTGCAGACTGCCAGAAATAGTGCAAATTGAGTCCACTTTTAGGGTTAGGGTTAGGGTTAGGGAATCATGGAAACTGTATTTTATTGTGGCATCAGAGCTCTCTGACAGAGAAGGCTCAATGTCTCAGGGGAAAAAACCAATTCCCATGATTCCCTAGCACTAACCCTAACCCTAAAAGTGGACTCAATTTGCACTATTTCTGGCAGTCTGCAACCCCCCTTAGTCTAGCTGTCAGTCCTGAAAAACACCAAAATTAAGTCCCAGCATGTGTAAATGAAAACCACCTAGGGTCAGGGTTTTTCCCAGCAGATAATGGATCACTAATTAAATAGACACTATGGGGCTCTGCAGACGGTGCAAAGCACCATCCTGGAGCCAAGTAAGGGGAGCAGCAGCCAGCCGCCGGCCATCCCAATTCCTTCCCGAGGATGTCATCAGAGCGTGTGCTGTTGCACAAGGCAAGTGCTCTGATGATGTCCTCCCAGCGCAGCATTTTTACATGCTGCACCAGAAGAGGCACAAAAGAGCCATGTGGTGGCT